ACCCGTGGCCTTGGTGTTATCAGCACCACACTCTCCCAAGTGAGCCACGGGCCGGCCCGCTTTATTCCTTTTTATACTCTTTGATAAATGCACATATTCCATGACCCAGCAATTCCACATCTATCTCTTTACCCTATAAATATACTTTCATACGTGCAAAATGACATATACACATGAATATTTAGTTGTAACATTGCTTATAAGAAAAAAAAAGAATGGAAACAACAGAAATGCCCATCAGCAGGAAACTGGTGAAATAAATCCTCCTTTTGAAGAAACATGGTGCATTTGTTACAAAGGATGAGGCGGCTCTCTGATGCGGAACAATTTCCAAGTTAAGTGGAAAAAGGCAAGGTGCAGGATGGTGTGTACAGTGTGCTATCATCTGTGTAGGAAGAAAAGTCAAACTATATGCACATATATTTGCAAGTGCAGGAAATATCTCCAGAACACAGATAAACTAATAACAGTGGTTGCCTCTGGGGAGGAGAACTAGGTAACTGGGGAATTGGGGGGAGGGAAAGGGAATTAATTTACACTGTGTCATTTGAATCACGGGCATGTGTTATCTATTCAAAACTTTACAAAACTTCTGAGGGGGAGGGGAGAAGTAGGAGGAGGAGGAAAAGTTTGGACCACAGCTAATTTCACTGCAGACCCAGGGCCTTCACCAAAACCAGGAAGACAATTTTCAATTTTTGAAGATAAAAGCAGCACTATTGGTTAGAGCGTGGTGTTGATAACACCAAGGTCAAGAGCTTGGATTCCCTTACTGGCCAGTCAAAAAAAAATAAAGAGCAGCAGTAGCTCTCAGCAAGGCAGATGACTTTTTAAAATTTTTTCTTTTTTTGGAGGTCAGTAGTACAGATGACTCTTCAATCCACGCTGCAAAACAACTGGACCAGACCTTTTCTTCAGAACCTTTTTTATTCTTCATCTAACCAACAGAGGTGATCAACTTGAACTAAAACAAGCTAAGAGAGCCTCAAAAGGTCTGTCTCAGTACAGTATCCGAGGGCACAACCAGACGTGGGGACAGGGGTTAGCCTCAGTTCCTTTCAGAGAAGACCGAGCACGTAGTTAAACACGGGTGCCTCATTAACAACTGACGGGCAGTACCCCACCTACACAGACACACAGACACGGGGTGTGCAGAAATCGTTGGGGACCCTCCACCTGTGTCATAGGGCTCCGTCTCTTTCTCAGCCATAAACAAGCTCTCCCTTTTTTGGGGGGAGGCCGATTAGCGTGTTATCTTGGGTGATGGCACCATTTGTTTACTCTGGAACTTTGATGGGGAGGTGACAACTTATTTTC